CCGGGCCCGCCAAGACTGAATAACGGTCCTCAGATCCGTCTTCCCGGGGGGCTGTGGGCGAGAGTGCCGTCTTGCGTCCCAGGTTGGTTGATTGGGATCCCGCGAAGCGACGCTCTGCTTCTGGCTGTGGCGGTAGGTGCTGGATGAAGGCTGCGTCCGCCATTCCTGAGCCGTCGCGGTCCTGGAGTCTGACCGGGGGGGGAGATATCGCTCAAATGCCTCTCCCTGAGTTTTGGCGTGCTGGAACCTGTTGACGACAGCATCCACTGCTTCGCCAAATAGGCCAGAAGGCGAGAGGGGCGCATCCAGGAGAAAAGCCCTCTCCTTCCCCTGGATGCCTGATAGGTTGAGCCACAGATGGCGCTCCGTAGCCACCAAAGCCGCCATGGATCGGCCGATGGAACGGGCCGTTTCCTTGGTCACACGGAGAGCCAAGTCCGTCGCTCTACGGAGCTCCGTTAGGTCCTCCTCAGAGGGACCTCCCCCTACGTCACAGTCCCGAAGGAGATCGGCCTGGTATGCCTGCAAGACAGCCATCGTATGTAGGCTGGCACCAGCTCGACCCGCTGCCATGTAGGCCTTGCCCACCAAATCGGACGTCATCCGACACGGCTTGGTGGGGAGCGCCGGCGTCCAGAGGGATGAGGCAAGGTTGGGAGAGAGGTAGCTAGCCAGTGCCTCCTCCACTCGTGGCATCGCTCCGTAGCCGTGCTGTCTGATTCCCGTCACGTTGCCGTAGTCCAGCCGGGGGGACGTAGACAGCCGCGCAGAGAAGCGTTTATTCCATGATCTACACAACTCGTTGTGCAGATCCGGAAAAAATGGTAGGGGCCGACGCAGGGGTGGCGCTCGGTGTTGCAGAAACCACTCATCTAGTTTGCTGCCTACCGATGGCTGCTGCACCGCCTGTGGCCAATCAATGTGCAGCTTGGCCACGGCCCGCGTCACCACTTCCAACAACTCCTCGTATCCTGGCGAGGGCTGATGACATTCCGTTTCCTCTATGCTAAGCACATCTAGCTCCTCAGAGCCAGATTGTGTCAGCCTTTCCGGACTCGCCCCTCGAGTGGGAGAAACCATGAAACGGGCTTCCGATCGGGGACGAGGGGAGGAGGATTCCGCGGACGAGGACCGGAAAAAGGCCTCAGCCGTTCCGGCACCCTCGGCGATCTCGCGTTGTGATCCCCAGGATCAGAGCCGCCGCGACGCCTCAGCAACCGCGGGGCCTGTGCCACGAGGGGAGCGCATCCGACCATCCTCTAGGAAGAGAGCCGCTCGAGACCTCAGCACCCTCAGGGGCAGGGCCTCGCAATGGTTGCAGGCAGCCCCCTCGAGAGCCGTCTGAGCATGCGACATCCCCAGGCATGAGACGCACATTCCATGGGTATCACCTTCTGTGATGAAACGCTCACAATGGAAGACACACTGTTGGAATCGCTTTGACATGATCTTCTGCTGCTTCGTCTCGATGTCAGGTAGGAAAATGGAGCTTCCAAACATAGCCAGAGTGCCTGCTGAATAGAAAGAAGCTAATGTGTCTTATGTGCCGGCGTGCTTAAATACCCCCTCCGGTTACGCCGTCACACACTACCATTCTAGTAACACCAATAGGATTGGAGTAGTTTCATTCATAGTTCAGCCCTGCCACGCCCAGGGGCGTTCCCATAGTGTCGTCACCGACGCAGTTCGAGTTCCCTCGAAGGGGAACATCCTACTGTGTGGGCTCTTTCTCTTCATATTGAAGAGACGAATCGATTGATATCCGGCATGTCTGTGTAGCTCCTACGGGTAGCCAGCAGAGGCCGATAAAGACCTCCTCATCCGCCAAAGCAAACTCTTCTTCTCTTCTTCAATCTGACACAGAAACGAAATTTACGGCTAAGCCGACCACACCAAGATAGCGGCCCGCCAGATGGTCTCTGTTGACACAAAGGACCGCTGTTTTTGGACGGAAAACAGATTGAACAGCAAAAATCAATTACGTTCCCTGTATCGGGCAAGCCTGTTACCAATTAAACACCAACAGAGAATACAGTAGGGGAGAACAGGGGCAATTGTAATATTTTCCTTAATAACTCACAGACTACTTGAGATACACAAGTAATCTTTTGATACAAGAAACACATATATGTGCACTAATTAATAATATAATTGATGTATTTTCACTTAAGAAAAATACTATAATAGTTAATTAAATGCAAGAAGTCAGTGTTACAATTGCCCCCGGCAAGGGGGCAATAAGTCATATTAACTCACTGTATGTCAACTAAAAGCCTAGGGCGACCTCAAAGTAATTACTTTACCGCTAATGTTACTTAAGAGTGTTTTTATATGGTTCAAATTATTTTAGATGTCAGGCATCCTCTCCATAAGTTCGCTGTTCTATCTTCATAAAATTGCTTTTCACAAGTGAACTAGTCATTCTCTTTGGTTTTGCTGGGTCTTACATACAATCAACTACTTTAAATCCACTATATAGACAAACTGAAAATGAAAGGAACTTTACTTTTGCAGACTTAGGCCTATATAACATTCACACTTTCTATAAAACACACATCATTTTATACAAAGAACGTTGACCTATGTTAATTAATTTAATTAATTGGAACAAATCCATTTATTTTAATACACCCTTTTTTAATGTAGTTTTACCTTTAAATTTAGTGAAATATGTCCACTTTCCAACAAAAGTAGTCAACACAGACAAACAAGCTGCTTACATTGGGCCATGTGGCTTGGAACATCAGTGAACAGTGTTGCAATTGCCCCCGATGTTGCAGCCATGATAAAATCTTGTATGCCCGCTAGCCACAACTATACTAGCATAGTTTGCTAGTGTTAATTGTTAATCAATAACCTAGAGATGAATTCTATGTTTGTTTAAATTTGTAGTAATTTAAACTTTAGACACCAGAAGAAAAATACTGTACATCCAAAAATTTACTTTCATACCTCAAAATCAGTATTTTGTTAAAAACTTCTGCTGAGGTGAAATGATCCTGCTCCTTTTCCACAGGCAGAGAGAGAATCCTACTGAGAATGTGCAGATTAAGTGTCACTGTAGCTTGTTTCTGTTTGGAGAAATTGAGTGTGTTACAATTGCCCCCGGTCTCCCCTACCGAGGTGATTTACAGAGCTTCTTGATTGACATAAGATCTTGATGGTAGCTTTACTATTTGTTAAACACTGCTAACTGCCAAACCCAGCAAGAAAACCACCTCGGTGCTGTATTACCAGCCTCGGAAGGTGTGCTCAGTCCCAGTCCAGCAGCCGTTTTTACTATGGTATTTACTTACTAAGAGCTGAAACCAGTCTGCCCACATGGGGAGTGGGGGAGTAACACACATTCAGCTCGCTTCTGTAATTCCCACCAATCAATAACTGCAACAAGTCCCTCCATAGATTTGTCTTTTTACAGTAACACATAGATATACGGAAGCAAATAGCACTTTTTGATTTCACTTCAACACGTTACTTGACTATTCAATTCAAATTAGCTTTATTGGCATGAATGTCTAACAACAATATTGCCAAAGCATCATACAAACTACAAAAGAACAATCAACTAGCAAATAGTGTACTAGATTAATGTTAAATACATTCAGTATGAGTTAATTTTTTCCTTTAAACCTTACCACTTGCTTTTTGGGTAGCTAAATTCATATCATTTACCTGTGATCAGTGTAAATATGACAGTATGTGGTATTTAAGTAGAGAATGATCACTGGAATGCCATGGGACAGCTGACCAGTGCAGACAGGATTGTGAAGCACTTGAAATGAGAAAGGCCTTGTTGGCTTGTCCTGATGTATTCACAGCATAAATGTTTTGATATCCATCCATTTATTCATCTTTCACCCATTATCAAGGTCTGTCTCTCCCCTCACCCTTGTCCTCCATCTTTTCCTGGCGGACTGCGAGAGGTTCCCAGGCCAGATGGGATATGTAATCCCTCCAATGTGTTCTGGGTCTGCAGGGTCTCCTACCGGTTAAACGTGCCCAGAAAACCTCATTTCCTATTAAATGAAATAATAGCTGTTTAGCTGTCATTCAGTTTTGAAACACGGTCTGGACAAAAGACTACCGGCAAAAGTGAAAAAAAGAAGATATGAATCTCCTTCTGTCTGTCTTAGAAAAAAAGAAACAGGTCCATTAAGAGCAATTTCCGTATGTTTACCACAGCCAACATGTGAACATATGAGCTTTGCAACTTTACAACTAGCTCTTCCTAACCAATTGTCACCCCTAATGCCTAAATTTAACAGCCAATCTGAGGCAGAGTAGGGCCGGTACACTGTGTGACAACTGAGCAAGTTAGGAAGTTAGGACTGCCAAAGAACTGCCCGTCAGATAGAAAGCCTGATCTGAGATATAACGTTAATGTCCTGTGAGATACAGTAATGATGGCAATTTAATAACTTAGCCCGCTGTAATTAACCAATATTGTTAGCTAAGCTACTTGTTCCTTTTAGGGACCAGAGGCAGGAACCTGGATGTATGTAGGGCTAACGTATTCAGGGTAAATCTGTCAGGGTTTGGTGAGCGCAAAGCATGAGAGAGCCCAAATGCAAGACACTGGAGCGGAGATGCAGTTCAGGGATTTTAATTCCAACAAACAAGGCAAGACAACGGGCATGAACAAAACTTGCAGGTTGTGGAGACAGGCTAAATCCAAAATGCAATAACTGGCAGTCCAGAAACATGCAGAACACTTATCATTCGACAAAGACTGAGGGGAAACAAGCAAGCATATATACACAGGGTTAACGATCTGGGTGGGGATACACAGGTGAGAGACATGAGACTAACGAGACACAGGCAGGCAGAGAGAGCAGGGGAAAACCGAGAGAGTGGCAGGCAGGCAGATTACTGAGAGGGAAAAGACAAATTACTCAACATTAAACATATCAGAGTAATATAAATAAACTAATACAAGCAGACAGATCACAAATAAACTAACATCAACAAGGAACACAGACTGCAGCTAAGAACTCAGACCAGACATGGGCAAAACAACAGAAGTACACAGACCAGGAGTAAACACTTAAAGCATGCACTAAAGGTACAGGGGCCCGTTTCAGAAAGGTTAAGTGAAAACTCTGAGTATGTTAACCCTGAAATGAGGGAAACTCTGGGTTTTCATCCATAATCTCATCCATCCTTACATCAGAAACATCAGCCATCGTGGCCATGCTCTTACATCCGAGCAGTTGCTTTGCGTTGCCTTACGTTTCTTTACAAATGGTAGTTTGCTGTATAACATCGGGGATGCAGAACATATTAGTAAGGCTACTGTTTGCAGAGCGGTAAGGAAAGTGTGCCTTTGTGTTGTTTCCTGGGCACAAACCAGTGAGAGTCATCAAAGAGGAGTTTCATCGGATTGCAGGTCAGTGGATAAATCGGTTTAAATGAGGCTAACCTGATAAATGACATTCAGTTAAGAATATCTTGTTGCGACCCCTGGAAGTAACCTAATAATCAGAATTCCCTTTAGGATTTCTGAATGTGGTTGGATGCATTGATGGCACACATATTCCGATCATTGCACCTTCTGAAAATGAAGTGGACTATATCAACCAGAGATCCATCCACAGTATTAATGTGCAGTTACACTGACAGCCTACTGTTTCTAATGGTCAAAAACTACATCACAATACTGTAACATCTCCCATTCTTTGCACTATCAAGATCATATGTGATGCTGCACATATAATCACAAATGTGGAGGCCAAGTGGCCCGGCTCTGTTCATGACTCAAGAATGTATCGGGAGTCAACCCTGAGCAACAGACTGGAAAGGGGTAAGTAAATGTATGTCCTATACACATATTTCAATGTATGCACTACACACTTACAGGGGAATTTTAATGCAGCTCTAAAGCAATGTGAACTTTCTTACAGGAGAGATTGATGTCTTTCTGCTGGGAGATTACCCATGCCGACCAAATCTTACCCCCTTACCCAGAACCTGAACCAGGCCCACAGCAGTGCTTCAATGTGGCACACTGCAGGACGAGAGCCCGGGTGGAGATGACCATAGGCCTTTTGAAAGCACGTTCCCAGTGCCTACGTTACCTCAGGGTAACCCCTGAAAGGGCCTGCGACATTATTTTGGCATGTGTTGTTCTCCATAATATTGCCATAATTAGAGGGGAGCAACACCCTGCCCTACAATTACAAGACCCTGAGGAAGACCCCATCAACCCTGCAGATTTCCAGGATGGAAGGGTAGTCCGGGATTTGATATTCTGCAATGTCTTCTCAGATTAATCATGATATCCACCACCACAAAAACAAAAAAACAAAAATGAATAAACACAAAATCACAGCAATTTATATGGTGTTCTTCATTTCCTACAAAAAAAAAAGTTAGATTTTAATATAGTTTCAATACTTCCTAGAATTCACCTGTGACCATACATTCACCTCTTTTGTTTCAGAATCTCGATTTCCAGATCTGCCTTTTGGATCTGGCGGTCCAAGTATACAAGTTCTTTGCTGTTTTTTTCTATCTTTTTAATAAGAAGAAGTCTATATAACTCCTTAACTGGCAACTGAAAGTTTTAATTAATAGTAGATTAGAGTTACATCATGTAGTTCTAAAATTCAGAATTAAACTGTGGCATTTACTGTAAATCACTGAACTGTGCTCATCTGTGCACCAGAAGTTGATGGGCCTTCCTCCTGCTGTTCTTCTACACTCTGGGGGGTTGAGATAAGAATGACCATTTATAGACATAAACTTAGATTCTATAGGCTACTCCACATAAAAATGTGAATAAATGTGAATGTGTAGATTGTTTGATGTGTAGACAAATAATATTAACATTACCTCTGTAGGCCTGAAACGGTTTCTTCATCCCTATAATCCTGTGAAGATGAGCATTTCATAGAGTACACTTTATAATACTATTTGTCATAATTTATGGTGTATTGAGTTGCCTACTTACAACTGCCTGGGGTTCTGTTGGGACAGGAGGCTCCAAGAGACAGATATTACCATCCGAATCTGTTGGGACCAATGAAAAACCCAACCCAAAGTAATATAAACGGAAATATCACAAATAGTCTATATAAAAAATAACACATACTGTAGGTAGACCTCTTACATTTTATGAAGGCACTTAAATCTTCTGGAGTGACTGGCTCTGATGAAGTCCCTCCAGGAATTCCCTCAGCCATTGGCCTTCCCGCATTCAGGCTCAAGGCCATCTCCTCTGCATTTGTCAGAGGTGGTGGTGCAGGTCCTCCCCCCGTTTTGCGAGCCTCTGCCTTCTTTCTGTTGGCTGAGTAGTCAAATGAGAATGAACATTTAGACCTATGTCAAAAATGCTGGTGCGCGGCTAGACACTGAATGCTATTTAGTCATTTAATATGTCAAATGTTTGTAAAGCCAGGTACCCTACACCTATGATATGCTCAAGGCTTACCTGATTTGTCTGATTTATATGTTTTTATATTTCATTTTCAGCTGCTGCCATGTTCTTTTAATGCCTGCAGGATTGTACCTATACATGAAAATTAAATTAATAGGTTTAATAAATACTGTATCCTTCTCATCTTCTTTACCTACAACCAGTTTGCATGCTTGAGCTTTTCCTTCCTCTCAGAGTGCATTTTAAACTGAGTAAGTGTAAGATTGACGGGTTGAAGTGGTCATGAACCCATACTGAGCTTAGTACTGAAAAATAAAAACTTGGAGAAAGTCAGGTCAGCTCATGGACACATTCTTCAGTTGCTTCAATCGAACAGCCAACGGAAAGGACATGACTGTTGTTGGACCAAAACAGCTGATCTAACAGCAATAGTTGAATGAATAGTTTAGTGAAATAACTACGCCCGTTATTGTTACACTTTGTACCCCCATTTCCAGTCTTTGTGCTAAGCTAAGCTAATCAGCGGTGACATGAGTGTATCAATCTTCTCATTTAACTTTCAAAAAGAAAGTGATTAAGTGCAGTCCAAAATGTCAAACTATTCCTTCCATGTGTACATGCAAGTGTTTTTATTATTTGATCCCATACTTGAAGTCTAGTGTATTGGCTATATGTGCTCATGGGTGCCTTAGCTTCGTTCTGGCCGGGTGCAGCACACAAAGTCAGTGTCGTCAGATGTTTTAATGTGCCACATTAAGAATCCAAACCTCTTGGCTCCTCCAGCGGCTCCAAAGCCTGCCTTCCCGCTGACTGGTGAATCACAAGCCTCTGTATTTTTGGCTCCATAGAGACAGTCGTGTCATTACCATGAATGAGTAATGCATCAGGGTTGGCGTGATCGGTAAAAGTATTGTGAAAGATGGACTGTAAGATATTGCTCGGTAGTTTGTTCATTACTGATTAGTAATGCAGATCCATCCATTCTCAGTGTACTGTTTCTAAAATAAATATGTTGTTAGCATATTTTAGATTTCAAATCTGCTATTACGACTGTAATTGTCACTTATATTAGCAATACTGGCACACAGGGGTCTCTCCTCACCCATCTCAATTAAATAAAAAGACACCAACAGGATTTTGACCCTCTGACTTTATAAATGAGATTATCCCTTATTGGAAAACTTTAACTGTTACATAATATAATTTTGCATTGGCATCGTCAGCTTTGAATGCAGAATAATCATGTTGTACAATGTAGTACCATGTACCATAATGTGAGATGTTCTAACCTTCAAATTATTACTCATGATGATTTTTTTTAACATTTTAGAATTAAATAGCAAATGGCATTCACAATAAGGTGTTAGTAACAATCACACATTTCTTGGATGGCAATGAAATTTGCATTTCATTTATTATTGATAATTTATTAATTATGGATTACATGTATCTGACATCATATGTCATGCACTGCATAATTTATAATTGTTACAAGATGAATAACGTCAGCCCTGGGATCAAACATGAGCTGACTTTTCATCACTAGACATTGCATTGGATCTTCTCTTAGTGATCTCCTTCGCAGGACTCTTGAATCCTGAAAGTATTCTGTTACATGGGATATAATATTGTAGTTACTCCAGTTTGTCCAGTATGAAGGATTTTTGTGCCGCCATCTTACTCTTGTTTATCTCCTACAACCCAAACATATAATTTCATTGCCTTCAGTGTCAATACAATGTTTTACATTTACAATGATAGGTAACACTGTATTTTAACCCCCTACTTAGCATGATTAGTAGTATATAAACAGATAATATGTGCTTGATATGTAAAATATAGTGTAGTGTTTAAGCATTTATTATTGTATTTGCCAACTATTATAATTTCAACAAATTTGTAATGTTTCATAAAACAGTATAACATAGTTGTAAATATTTATAGTATCATGTCACACCTAAAAACATTTTAAATAGATGTACTCACAGTATAAACAGAGATTTTTTTTTTTTTTAAACCTGTCCTGCCCAGCAGCCTGGTATAGAGTATGATGACCTGGATACCATATTGTGCCAGACAGATTTTACTTTAACAAGAGAGTATTAATATACTCCTTTGTCTGTTTTATTATTTATTTAATTATGTATTGATTTGTCACCGGGCCGGACAGGAGGCACAAACAGACAGCACAGAGAAAGGACAAGACCTGTAAGAGAAGGGGGACGGAAGGTGGGGACAACAGGGAAAAGCAGTGGGAAACACCAATTGCAGAAAGCAACGAAACCTGCAATAGAACAGAGAGGGGGGCTTGAGGAGGAGAAAAACAACAACAAACAAACACAAACAATAACAAACAATAAAAATAATAATAATAGTAAAAGACAACCAGCCGAACAGCAGCAACAAACCGCTGACATAGTATGACAACTAAGAGAAAAATGAAAACAAGAAACAGTCCAGCACATTAAATAAGCAACACAGCACAGCCACAAGAGCTGGAATAATAACAATTAATTTACATAAGCAACTGAAAGAAAAGCATCAGGAATAATTCTACCAGGGACAACCTAAATTTGTTTGTGTCTATGTGTGAGACTGTGTGTGTCTGTGTGCGTGTGGGTGAATGTGTGTGCGCATAAGCCTGTTAAAGAATGTAGTTGTTAGTGAGAGTGGGATGCCATGACTGTGCCACACCTACCCCAGCAACAGGTAGGCAAGAACCCCAGTAGCCAATAGGGGTGGGAGAAAGAAAGAAAATTTAAAAATCAATCAAAAAAACCCACCCACCCGTCAAGGGCCGAGAACTCCAGGCACAAGCCCAGAACAAACCGGAGCACAGCCCTGCCCCGCACCCACACTGCACATCCTGAAAACTAACTATATAAATCAATATCCAGAGGATTCCAACAACTGGCCGACAGAGAAATGGGGAAGCATGGATCCGAGGCAAAACAGGGACGCAAAGTGGTCCCTCCAAGCCAACGAGGAAATGCCTCCCCCGGACTCCAATGCACAAACTAAACACCCAGCAGCCATTCAGAGACCCTGCCCAGGGAAAAAGCACAATGCATCAAGATGCATCGACAATCGGCCTACAATCCCACCACAGCCCTCCAAACCGCAACCAGATCAACCCGCGCAGAGACCCCCACCCCCAGAAGCCAGGGCACCACGCGACCCCCCAAAGCGCAAAGGACCCCAGACCGCATGTCCCGTCGGAAGCTGTACCCCGTCCCAAGGAAGAACAGCAGAAAGCCGTGCTGGGAAGCTCCCTGCCGCCAGGGAGCGGTAACGCGGGAGAACCAGGCCAACGGTCCCCCAGCCCAGCCAGAGGCTTCCCCCCCCAGAGTGCAGGCAGTGCCAGCAGCCCCCGAGGCCGATCTCATCCCCGTACGGGGGCCCAGCCCCCCCAGTCAAGCACCCCCAAGGAGGAGCACCAAAACCTACCCCGACAACACCGGCCATGCTCCCCAGAGACTCCTGAATGCCCCCACTGTGAGAGAGCTGGCAGGGGGAAGCAGTGGGAGCCCCACCCCTGCCGAAGAGGGCCCAGGCGAGGAGAGGAGACCGGAGCCCCCAGACCCAGGGACACACCACCCCGCCCAGAAATGAGCAAAAGCCGCAAGCCCGAGTCCCCAGATGCCTAGGTCAAGAGCGGGCCCCCACGCCAGGGGAGCCCCGACCCCCCCAGCCCACCCCAGATCAGGCTAGGCTGCCACCAACCCCACAGCACCCCGACGCACGGGGCTCCAGGGGCAGGACACGAGGCCAATGAGAATCTCCCCCACTCCTTCAACCACTCTGCCTGCTTCTGTAAATGTATTGTTTTGTGTTGGATGCATGTCATGGATTGTGAAGTGTTGTATGGTGGAGTAAAGATAAGGTGTTTGGTAACTAAGGTGCAGTTAAAATTGGAGGGTAGTTGTAACACAGGCGCCCCACAACT